GACCACTCATGAGCCAAGAGGCGAGGGTGGGAGGGATTCAAATTGCCCCCCCCCCAATCATGAGCCAGGAGGTAAGGGGCAGATGGATTGACAGTGGTAGGGATTGAAAGCTGGCCCTCCAATCATAAGCCACAAATTTAGTATTATAGAAGGGACCCAAGCTGCCCAATCATGAGTAAAAACAGAAGGAAGAATCCAAGTGCAAACTCAACAATACCCAACCAGATAGGAGAGCAGGAAGATGGACAGTGAAAGGGCCAGACCTTGAACTGTGTAGAGTTGTGTAGAATTGTGTAGAGTTGTGTCAGATGGACAACAGACTATAGGATCCCTGGAAAGCACAGCCTAAGAATTATTGCCTGAAGTATAACTTCACACAGCTCTAGTCACTAACCTTGCCACTAATCATGAGCTAGGGCAGGGGGAAGAGGGAGTAATGTGAGGTCATCCTATAGTCTCTCTGTGACTCTCCCAAAATTTCTTTGTGCTAGTGAGGTGATTTCCCTCACTTCATGTTGTGATCTGGAGCAAAAGTAGGGATGAGCACCACGAACCACAAACCTACTGATGTTTTGGGGGGAAATGAGCTGCAAACAAACCAAAAATTGCTAAAGAGGTTTGTTGATTTGGTTCGTTTTGGTTCTTCAGCCGACACAAACCAACAAACCAGTGATTTTTGACAAACTTCCTGGTTCTTTTTGTTGTTGTTCATGCCCCTTTCTAAGCACAAAAATTAGACAAATAACAGGTTTCTTGCTTTTCCCTACAGGCAGGCTTTTTTTCCCCTTAATGACCGGATGCCTTAGAGGAGGTTCTTATGTTTATGTTGTTTTTAATGTGCTTTTGGAATTGTTTTTAACCTACCAGCTTTAATATTTTATCTGTTTTAAAAAATACTGTAATAATTTATTATTTTTAGCTCTTAATATTGTCTGCTTTTAATACTATAAGCAGCCTTGAGTCCCTTCAAGAGAAAGGCAGAGTATAAGTATGTTAAATAAATAATAAACAATGGTTCACGCCCCTAGTTTACATCTGCATTTCTGAGCCTCAGCACAGTATGAGCAGGAGCATGGGCACCAGAATGTTGTCCAATACACAGAAGCAGGGAACCCTTGGTTTGCAGGGAACCCTTGGAAAGAGCCCAAGAGTAGTGATGGCTAGGCCCAAGTGGCACCAGTAACCATGGTGTTCCCCAACTGTGAATCGAAGTCACATGAAGAACAGCTTATATGAAGTGCCATCCACATGGGTCAAATCTTGTGGTCTCTGGAGTGACTGCTATGGCAGAATCTTCTTAAGAGCAAACCATCAGATCCTCTTGATGCCCTGAGTTTTCCATGCTACTCCCCTAGCTGCTTTTACACAGTCAGATGTGCTCCACAATTTCTCCGTAAGCAGCAGTATTGTGCAATGTGACAGAGACTGTTTTCCATTATAAAAGTAAATTCATTGTCTACTTAACTGAAATATCTACAATAGAATTCTCTCCATACAGCAGTATAAACTTTTTCAGATTTCCACCTGTGAAAATGAAAGCAAAGGGTAGCTCTCAGTTTTCAGTCTGCTTAAGAATGACCGGATTCTCAAGGGTCACTCTCACGTCATTTCAGAGCAGAAACGTTTTGCTTGCCAGGACCCTGATTTTGTGGGAGGAGATAGATTCAGCCTATAAAATGTACTTTGACACAGAATCCATTTCCTGAAAACTGTTGCAACATTCACAAAGAGAGAAACTAGCAGTTCCTTAAGACAGAGTCTGTGGCATGTGAGTACTAATGTTTTTAAACACTGTCCTTGAAAGCAAAACCTAAAATTACCCATGGTTTGCTTGTGGAAATCAGGAAGATTTACTCTAAAACTGCTTTCCCCATCTGTTGTAATTTGGCCTAAAGTGTCCTAACAGTATAAAGCCCCACTGTGTTTAACAGAACTCTGCACTCCCAACAGGCTTTGTCTTGAAATGAGATTTTACCCCTGGTTTTCTAAAAGTTTTGCTGTGTCAGATGCGTTCTTGTGAAGGCTTACTTCTGAGCAAATATGCACAGAACTGGACTGTGCATCGGTTTATCGTGCATACGTTTGGATCATTGGAGAGCAGTATAAATTAAATCACTCTTGTCATAATGATATGTAATGATATGTAATCTCTCTTCCTAGGGGAACTCAACTTGGAGTATATTTATTCTGGTGGTTAAAACAGAAAATTAAAAGCTACTAGATTAAGTCTGTGAAATAAATTACTGCAGCAGCCTTATGCGCAGCCCAACTGAATGCATGTTTACTCAGAAGTAAGTTTCAGTAAGTTCAGCAGGTCTTATTCCCTTGTAAATGTATGCAGAGTGCAACCTAAGAGAAGATAGAACTTTAATATTTTACTGCTTGAAACTGGGAAGGATTAAATTTCTTTTCATGTATTTTAATGACCAGAGCATGTTAAACATCTCAAATGTCAAGTGGTTTTGAATTTTCTCCATTTTTCTTCACAAGACAGACAAGGCTTTTTAGTAGAAGAATATATCAACAGGGACTCTCTTACTATTAATGCAGCCAGTTCTGTCCTGTGGCAATTTCAGCTATATTTATAGCTGCTATTACTGACAAATATACATCTGTTAAATATACACAATTGTACTATTACTATAATATACATCATTATGCACTGCATACATGATTATTATAAACTGTACATTGCTCTTGTTATCTTTGTGTTTTTTATCTTTATTTTATTAAATGAAAATGCAGTGTAAGAAACAAAACAACAACAAGTAGAACAACAAACAAATAAACAAATAAAATACAATTATACACAAACAAAATTGAAACAAAGTGCTTCCCCCCACCGGGAACCTTTTCCTTTATTTCAAGGATTCACCTTCATTTTCCAACATTGTAATGTTTCTTGCAATGGTGCTGTTCTCTTCCCCTTTATTAATGCATAATCAATAAAATCTCACTGAATTTCTGCAAAAGTATGCCTTTTAAACACTCTTTTTACTTCAATATTGCATGTTAATTTGTCATTAATAGCTATATTCCATACCTCTGTATACCATTCACTTAACTGAAAATTATGTTTTATTTTCCAGTACTTGACTATAATTAATCTAGCGGCTGTGACTAAATTAGAAATTAATTCAATAGTTGCCCAATTATATTCCACTTTATCGAATATTGATAGAAGTGCTGTTTTAGACATTCTTCTACATTTATGTTTGGTTATTTGTCTTATTTCTCCAAATACCATTTGCCAAAATTTCATTATACTGTCGCATTCCCACCACATATTATCTTTGTGTTTTAAACAATATTTGTATTAATTTTCTAGTGTTAAATCTGTTCCTACAATTTACATGGGAAAAATGACAAATCATGCAACATATTTTTAAAAATTGCAGTCACTGACAGGTGTCAAAAAGTGTTACAGAGAATTTGACCTGCTGGCAGAAGGATGTTGTTGCCAGTTGCCACTGTTTTTACAGAACTTTTCTGTTTTCCTGATCCCATGAGGAGACTCCAACTTTCTTTTCTTTTCTGCAAGCCTGAATATCGCAGATATTCACGTCACACAGTTAATTGCTATTTCAGCATTTCCTAGATGTATTGAACCTCAGGCAGATAAATGTGGCCGAGATGAGTTCTGCATAACTTGGAACCTGCCAAGCTTACTGGAGCCAAGCGAGAATTAATAAACATGGGAAATGGGCCCACAAAACAATAACGTGGCAGGCCAAGATACACGATTTTGATTCTATTTGTCTTGGAGGATTACTACTTGCATATTCACCAGGAGAATCTGCTCTCTGAATTTTGTCTGAGTGCTCTTTAATCTGCTCTAAATGTCTTTGGGGTTTACAAAAGTTAACCGTTCTTTAGGCAGAAGGTAGTAGGTCAATTGTGGTAGAATCTCCTGCTGCTAACCTATCCAATCTATTGGGTTTTCCAACCATTCCTTAAACCATTTGTATCAGTGCTGGTTCCAGGGTTTTCCTAATAAGCCTACACACACATAGAGAATGCAGAAACAGAGTATAGATATATTTTCTACTCTCGCCTTTGTATATTGTGTAAATTCTGTTAGAATTCCTTGGCATGGAAAGGGCAGGAGGATACCCCCAATGAACATAGTCAGTGTAGTTTGAGACATGATTCCAGTTGCTGTCCTGTTGAATGGTGTGTTCAATGAAATTCTAAGCACTCAACCTCAGTGTTACACTGAAGGTGCTGCTGAAATAGCAGGGAAGCTGAAGACTGAGGATCTGTGTAGGAAGCTTGGGGGATCATCTCAGCCAGAGCCTAGGGATAGATATTTAATGAACATATATATTTTGTCTGAAACAAAAGAAAAGGAACAATAGGTTGATCAGCTAAGTGAAAAGGTGGCCAAGGACGTGGACTGTTTGTATGTGTACAAGACTGAAAAGCATGATGGATGGAAGAGGCAGATTGGTGTTGATTGTAAGAAGTATAAACTCAGTATATGTAGATGATAATCAGCTTGAGAAACCTTCAGAAATGGAAGGATAAAAGTATTCATGGAATATGCAACAGCACATCAATCAGGGGTGTGAATTGTGTGAATTGTTAACATACGAGATTATGTCATGTGTTTATTTGCAGGTTTCTAATTAGTTGGTTAAAACAGATCCTGTGCTTTATGGCTATGAGAGCATATTTAAAACTTGGAGTAAATATTTAAAAAAACCCTGCAAATCTTTAGTCTTTAAGGAAAAAAAATTGATTTTAACATATAGCAACATTGCTAGCCTTTTGTCTTAGGAGACTATTTTAAAAAGGAATAATTTTTATCGATTGATTCTCTTACAAATTATTCAATTTTTCTTTAATTGAAGTATTTTTTTCTGTTTCCAAAGTTTCTAGGATTGTTTGGAAAATCAAAGAGAATTCTAAATTCTAGCCATGTAGAAATTACAAAAACTCCCTGCTCCCCCCCGGACACACACACACACACACACACACACACACACACACACACACACACACACAGATCTTTTACACCTGATGCGTCACTTGGGAGTTTCAGCAAAATTAGTCCCTGAAATTATTTCTGAGCAGACTCATTTAGGGTTTACCTGTAAAGCAAAGGTTGTCTCTGCAGAGGGACTCTGCTCCAGGCTCTCGTGCTGGTCAGAGGTCTCCCAGCAAAATCTGATAAAAATGCCGATCTGTTGATTTTGCAAATGCTTTTCTGTCACACCTCCTTATGTAACCCTAACAGCTTGGCAGTTCTACATATCTAAGCGGCTACTGTTAACCTTGGAGTAGACCGAGGCTGCTCTGTGTTTCTACACTCACTTTTTTGCCTTTGCTTTGTGTTGTCTCGTATCCCGCCCATTTTTCAGCCATAGAGCGCTCAGTTCCTTGTTTCTCTTTTTTTTCAAGCAAGCTGCAATCAACCATGACTATGAGGAGCTTGCTCTCTGACAACAGCCGCTACATTGAATCTTTTCATGTGTTTCTGAAGAATTCGACAGAGCACCAGTGCATGCTGGAATTCATTCAGAAGACGTTGCCAGGCATTATATCAAGGTAAAAAGTACCAGGCGTCTTATGAGCAGGACAAACGTTTGATACGCTCTGCATACATGATGGATGTGTGGGTTGGGTGTGGGCACAATACAACTGGCCCTAGAGAAACTGCTAGAGAATTACCAGCTGCTGTCACTAGCCTCTCTCCCCTCTTTCTTTCCTGGCATTTGTTAGTGCAAATAGGAATGTTGGACTTTCCGGTAGAAAGCTTCCCTGTGAGACTGAATGTTAACAGCAGGAGTCATATCTTAACAGTTCTTCGCCAAATAATCTAGCTCATGTTGAATAAACACTTGGCAGTGCAAACAGTAAAAGGAGAAAAAAAAGAATCACATGAGTCATTACAATTTGGTTTTTGTAATGGAGCCAGAGGTTGGGAGTTTGATTTTCCATTGTACCTCCTTAAAGTTGAATCACCCTGTGTGGTCTTGAGCAAGCTTCACAGTCCTGGGCATCCCCGGAAGAAGGTAAACCACTTCTGAGTATTGTCTATCTGGAAAACAGGTTGCCATAAATCAGAATTGACTTGACAGCACATAATTATTTATTATTATTGAGTAGTTGAACCACTGTTTCTTTTTCTTTTACACTATACAGTAGTTTTCTGGAGAAGTGAACCATAGTGTGGGGGGAGGAAGTGGCTCAGTGGGAGTGGGGGAGGGCCCTGCAGATTACCACTAAGATGGAGCCTGAATTTTCTTTCCTGGTTGCGCTAACGCAGACCACTAAGTTTTACACTATAGTGTAAAAGAAAAAGTGCTTGCTCATATTTGTAGCGTTCCACATCTTCACCCGCATAGCTCCATCTTGGGTTTGCTCTTTTGACCACACTACAAGTGAGACAAAACATGCGAGGCTAAGGTTGCCAGTCTCTGGGAACTGCTGTGCTTCCAACAGTTTCCAGAAAGGAAGACAAATCTGATGGTGAGCCCTGCTGGAACATGACATAATTTGATTTTTGTGTGAGAGGTGGCTTTAAACCCTGAGCACCCATTTCCACCTGTTCTCTGCTGCTGCCAGGGCTCACTGGCTTAGCACAATGGTGCTTCTGTGTGTGTTGCTCTAAATAAGTGCTTGTGCTCGTTAGCTCTCTCCCAGTCCTCTCCTCTCGGTTCTGATTTCTTGGCATGCAGACATGGAGCCCATAATTCCATTTGGGGTGAAGTGGGGAAAAGAATGCTAGCATTACAACTCATGAGCCTTCTTGCTGTACACGCCTTAGCAGCAGTAGTGTAAAACCTTCCTCATGGGGTTAATTGCCAACTCCTAGAATCCTAAATGTATGTGTTATTTTAATGCATACAGACACAATCGTCTAATCCTGTTGTTTAGCATCATACGTTGCACTTGAGTTAGGTTTTATTGATTCACATGGGCCTACTTTAAACACAACTTACTGTAGTATAGTAAGTCACAGTTAGAGTAAGCCCATTTGAATCTATTGAACTTACAGAGGAGTTGACTCACAAAACCCCATTGATTTGGTATGTCTATTTAAGTGAGATTTACTACACTAAGCAACAGGATTTTGGCAACTGTTTTGTAATAACGAATGTTGTGCCTGTGAATTATGTTAACATTCCTCTGAAATGGTTGTTGGGGGTTTTTCAGGCTCTTTGGCTGTGTTATGAAGGTTGTTGTTCTTCCTAACGTTTCACCAGTCTCTGTGGCTGGCGTCTTCAGAGGACAGAGGGAGTTCTACAAAAAAAGTTTCCTATGAAAATTTACATCTGCTCAGAATAATTCATGCAGGGGTTTTTCCTATCCCTGTTGGCATTAACCTTCCTCTATGACATAAAAAAGTTCTACTCCTATCATGTCACATGCATTTGCCTCTTACTCCCAGGTATCACCCCAAAATAGCTGGTTATGGAATCTTGAAGTCCTACTGAAAAATGGCTAATGAATAGGATTTTTTTAAAATTGCACTTAAAAATAATCCTAACTGTAATTTATTTTCCTTTTAGTATAGGTGATGGGAAATCTCCATTAAATGTTTTAAGTATTGGTGGTGGTTCAGGTGAGTAAAGATGCAGGAAAATATGCATTCAAATATCTAATTTGTAGATTGTTTTTCTCCATATTTAAATTATAATTTATCTCATGTATTGATCCATTTCTTAATGAGAAACAATGAGGTAGTCATGAATAAAATGACCAGCAATTGGATAATTTAAAATATATGATTGAATAGAGAAACAGAGGCCAAAATCCTATTGCTAGTCACAAGTAAAATCGACCCTTGGAATCAAATTACTGAATGGCAAGTCAGCACTTATATAAATCTCACCTTAGACTGCTTGCTTTTTTCAGACTGGCCACTGGCAGCGTTGAATGGGTGCTTCTGGTAGTTCTACAAAAAAGTAATTTTGGTGACTGTATGCAGTTGTAACCAATAATGAAACTGTCTCCTGTTAGTATTTGAGGAAAGCACATTTTTGATCATACCTCTGATGTTATTACTGTTGCTGACTCCCCCAACTCCAGTGCCGCTCCACAACGCATTTACTCTGCTATAAAATGGCAAATGTACTATGAACAGTCTATTTACTTGAAAAGTTTAATTGGAAACTTAATGGCAAATATAGTGATAGCTCTTTTAAGGTAATTGTATTGGAGAGGTTAAATAATTCCCATAAGATTAAATTGAAAGTTGTTGGTAATGTGGGCTGCCAGCTCTAAAATGCCCAAAAGCACTTGTTTGCATACAAACAACTAAATGAACTCAATTAAGGTCCTAGATGAATCTACAAATCAAAGACGTTTGAGTAAAGGGGCAGTTTAACAAGAGCATGAGGGTGGTAGTTTGGTTTCCTGGGAATGGGGGAAGGACGGTTCAGTATTCAGAAATGAAAAATTCTTATGTTCAATCTGGAAGACTTAGAGGGCCTTAATATTTGTACTATTTGTACTATTTGGTTTTCTTTTGTTTTGCTGAAGAGAGTAGGATTTCTCTATGAAAGATGTGTGTGTGCATGCACGGACACACACACACACACCACATCTAGTGATTAATTACCAATTTCAGATTTCCACATTTGGCAGTAGCTCATTTTGAATCAGATAAACTGAATTGTTCTGATTTTGCAAAACGGGGATACTATTTGTGGGTTGGGCTCCTATTCATTTATTTATATAGTGCTATCTGTGTGCAGCGTACTTGCCAAAGAACAGGCATGACAGGGCTTCGGGGGACGTCTGTCCCCAAAGACAGGCATGAGGGATACTTTCATTAGATCACTTAACGGATCACAAACAGAAGCTAGTGTTGAGTGCTCTGCTTATGATATTGTAGTGCTCTAATAAAAGCATCACTTACTCTTGCCTTTGAATCGTGCCCAAGGAGCAAATTTTCTTTTTTCTCAACAAGATTGCCTTAGGGTGATGAATTTTTGTTCATATAGCTGTTTGTCGGTTTTTGTGTTAATTAGCTTTTGATTGATTATATAGATTGACCTAGAGCACCCTAAAAGTTAGAACTGGATATGGAACAACTGATTGGTTCAAAATTGGGAAAGGAGTATGACAAGGCTGTATATTGTCTCCCTGCTTCTTCACCTTATATGCAGAATGCATCATGCAAAAGGCTGTATTAGATGAATCCCAAGATGGAATTAAGATTGCCAGAAGAAATATCAACAACCTCAGATATGCAGATGATACCACTCTGATGGCAGAAAGTGAGGAGGAATTAAAGAACCTCTTAATGAGGGTGAAAGAGGA